CAGCAGATTCAGACGACTCTCAAAGGTTACGTAACCCTCGAAGAAAAACAGGGAGATTATTCCTTACACTGATATAGCCAATACCCACCACACCAAGACCTTCTTGGGATGTAGGGAAGTCTCCAGGTTTTCGCGAGGATTTTGCATCGCCCTAAATCTCACATTCTGATGGTTGACGTCTCCTGAGAGTCAGATGCAATCACAAGTATTGGGATGGAAAGAAAGTCTTGCAACACTTCCCTCTCCCTTTCAACACGGCCTGAGCTTGTCCTGCCGACCTCACACCTGTTCCCACCCCGCCCTCCGTTCCCTCATCCAAGCTGACCTCCCTCAACCCGAGAAACTTGTTTTCGGTCTTAATGACTGCCTCCTGGGATCGCTTAACCTTCGCCCCCTTTACGACCTGAGCCCAATTACTAGCCACCTGGGAGTCGGCACTCGACGCGCTGTCAAAGGACGAAAGGGCCACCCTCCCAGTAAAGTCCGGAAGGCTGGGGAACCCCCGGAGTGCCTCCTCCACCCTAACTAGCCTCGCCACTAAATCATCCCTCTGTACCTCGCCATAGTAGATTGGAGGAAAGGAGCCCGAAGTCTCTTCGCACTCTTTCAGTCTTGTTTTCCGTTCTCGCGCCTTCCCTCACTTTTATGCCATTTGTGAGGAGAAACGTGAGAGTTTGTGACATCAAGACGGAATAGGGAATAAAAGTGATCGCGGCTGAGCATCCATTCCCTCATCCTCCCATCCCGTCCCAGTATTTGTGAACGAGATTCCACCTACTCTCTATGACGCCGTGTAATGTTCATGGCGTCATGGCACCACCTCCGAACGAGCCAAGACGAAGGATGCGGAAGTGATGAGGCTGCTAGCTTTCTCAGTGAGTCTTTCATGCCGGGCTTCGTAGAGACTATATGCTCTTTATATCTTTCCTGTGTGTACGTTAATAATCTATATATGGAAATCGTTTCGAAAGTGATTAGTAGCCTAGGAATCCTGTTTAATTTAGTATCCCAAGAAAAAACGAATGCATCCTTGAGTTTCATGAGGAGATTCTTAGATTTATGCAAAAATGTGCAGGGTGGGGCAAAAACTATAGCAGAAGTAATAGTCAGATCTTTATAAAGAATCTCTTATGGGAAGTTTTTTTATGAATACATACAGAATGGCTAAAAAAAAAAACCAAGCTATGGTTTTCCGAATGGAGCCAGTTATTTTCATCCAAAAGAAGCAAAAAACTCGAAATATCGTAGCATATAATTTTATATCTGTTGAAAAAGAGTTGTTACATGTGTGCCTAGAAGCTTACTGGAGTCAAGGCACTGTAGCCTGATTTACACCATGTTGAAGTCAATAGCTTGCTTTTTTAAAAGCCACCCTGTAGGTATATGGGAGATTCATATTGCACATATGCAGGGTGCTTATAAAGATAGTTGGCCTATTCAAATAACTATCGTGAAAACTGCATGGTGGAACAAGGATAATTTGGTACTTATACAAATGGCACCATGCGGAACACGTTCCCATGGACAATGACTGTACACACCAGAGGGCACGAGCATCGCCGGTGTCCACCAGAAGGCGCTCAGTGCGTTCCTAGGGTATAGAAGACGCTCCTCGCCTAAGCGCCATTTGGTCTTAGGCTGGCCCTGCCTTGGGGGGATCCGAATTTCGAAACACCACCTATGCTATGACCATCCCCGGAACAAATGAGGAAGCAATGCAAAGTTTGGTCGGACTGGGATCATAGTTGTGGCCGTGCATAAAGGACAGAGAGACGCACACATAAACATTCAGAAATATAGTATAGATATGCAAGTTGTCGAAATGATTGGTTTATTTTTTTAGAAAAATTCTTTGAGCAATGCATTGTCCCGTTAAAAAGTTTATAGGTGGATCATTGCACCTCAAATGCAGTAATGGTCTATGCTCCATCATCACTAAATTCAATTAAGAGTAGTTTGCCCAGTTTTGGCCTTCAACCGATTTTGACCAAGTTCGTATCTTTAAAATTGGCTTCAAGACCAAACCTTTTGGAAGGGCCCTCAGATGCAAGTGATATTTCGCAAAGAGGCTCATGGGCCTGTAAGGTGTTCTTTCCTACATAAAAAGTGGGGTAGCACGAAGATAGAGGGCACTGTTGTTGACCGGAGGGCCTCCTAACGGCATGCAGTATCTTCTTGCGGATGTCGAAAAACCTGAGACTCATAAACCTCTGTCGAGTATCAGTTGCATCCAACTGTCCCTTGAAAAGTTATGGCCAATCAAAACAGTGTGGTGACATAATAATCGTGTAGTCAAGAATAAGCATCTGGGGGTTGGGGGTCATTTTGCGCCATGACCAAATCTGAACTCACTTTTCTCCGCCTCCTCTGGAGGAACAGACGAATGCTTTTGCCTGTCGGCCATTCTCAAAATAATCCGACCGTTTGCCAACTTTCATTGAATTCTGAGATGGTCAGGCAAAGATCATTAAATGATCCACCTCTAAACAGAGTAAACTGGCATTGGACGACTGCTGAAAAAAACTGGCCTGCATCTTAATCCATCCACATCAAACGACGCACTGGTACGCAACGTCTCATCTCCTTCTACTTAGCCTATGGCCTGGAAAGGCATAGGCTTGTAGTAAGCCGCCTTATATACCCCGAGGGCAGAAGCTTCGAGAACATTCCAGCATATAGAAATGGAAAGCCCCGCCCATCATTCCTTTGAAAATTTTCCTAAATAGTTTTAGAAAGTGTTGCATGACTTTCTTTCCAACCCAATAATTGTCCTAATTCCTTTCTGAATTCCATTCTCTTCTCCTTCCATTGAGGAGTCAACTCATGCTTCACGTTTTTTTTGCAGGGAAACAAATATGTTCTTTTAATACGCGCCATAGCATCGTTGAAAAATCAACCCACTCTCAACCTTGATCAGACGATGTTGGCCGGAAATTACGTATATGTAGTGCATGCTCATGGCTGTCTGATTCCGTTTTAGTTCTGCCCCACGGGCCCCTCATGAGCATGTAAGTTTTTTTCTTTTGAATTCCCAGTGTTTTTTTTCTGAGGGAAAATATTCTATTATCGTGGCACAAAATTATCGACAGAGAAACAGCTGGATGATGCCCTCTGGCCGATGGTCGTAGGAGAAAGCGAATTGCACGCGAGACTAATATTGATGTCGATTCCTCTTGACTTCCAAGTACCGAGGCCAAACGTTCCGAACTACGCTGGGGAAATGAAACAGATTCCGAATTCAATCAGTGGTAAAGGAGACATTGGGCATGGGGCGGTTACCAAGTGCGTTCAACTGTGGTTATTTTCCGTTGAGAATATTTTTTCCAGCAATCGTTATCCAGGGAATAGGGTGAGTGTTGCGAATGTCGCCACTCTAAGCAAATTCTGCACTTCCACCTTGCTTGCTGGTTTTCGTAATGGAGTTTCCTCGTTCATAATGGGTCTGGTGATACCTTTATTATAAACCTTCTTATACCGCAAACCTCGAGTGCCCCAGACCTTTTATTTCCGAGGGCCTGGGTAAAAGGGTCAGTTGGGTCAGATGTTGGCAATATCGGCACATTTGCTAGTATAGATGGCACCACCCTGTCGGGAATCTCCTCACACTTATGTATCGCTGTCGTTTACAACAGATCCAAAAATGAATGCAACGACCAGATAAAACAATATCTGGTGTGGAAGAGAAGAACGGAATGTGAAAAAGCTTAGGAAAATCACAAGATTTTGCAGGATTTTCGGTTGTGCGCTTAGAGAAAGTGGCCACTGCGAGAGAACTACAACAGCAAATCTGACTGTTCCAAGCACATGTTAACAACATTAGTCTTACCATCTGAGAACACTTATCTACCCGTGCCTAGGGCACTAGTAGTGGAAGCAGAACTTTGACAATTGTAAAGTGCCGAGATTACCCCCAGTGCCGACATTCGCAGCACTTACCCTATAATCGAAATTCACCATCTAATGACCCTGGGTGTACACGAGCTTTCGACTAGATGGTAGGGCAAGAAACCCTGACTCTCTAAATGAGAATATGCAATGTTGACATTAAATGTTATTTATGTTGAAATTTAGTCAAATATCTGAACGTAAGAATACATAATTGCATTCATTACTCTAGATCACATTGCATAAAGTTCCATAGTTAAACTAGCTGTTATAATGGGAAGTGACTGAAGGCATGGATCCTTGATTTGTAGGAATCAGGAAGTTGTTGCCTCCCAAAGAAATTTGTAGACTTAGCTTTCAATTTGGAGAAAGAGACTTTTAGGCTGAATCGGAGACGAATAAATTATCAGGTGTCTACTTTCAATAATACGAACGGTTTCCATTCCCCCACCATATATTTCTCTGACTAAAGCGAGGACGTTCATAGCGAAACAATGTTCCAGTTCCCAACCTAGTCTAGGAGCTCTTGTTGAGTGTGTTTGACGTTCTGAATATGGATCGAAGTACAACCATTCAAGGTTGAAGGATTGTTTTGCTGGAACCCCATGACCCCTTCTTCCATAATGACTTGCAAAATGGGACCAAAACGACGGTATTTTAACATGTCCAAGTGCCGTAGATCCTTTCTTTGCGGAAAATTTTAAAATGTGGACGTAGAAACCTTACCGCATTTTTTTTTGAGGCGGCATATGAAAGTCCTGGAAACCAACATAATCAAGTATATAACACTTAACGTACACGTGGATCAGTCGGCTGATGGAGGTGAAATGGTGAAGGTGGAAACCTCGACCAAGAGAGCTGAGGGGTTGATGGGAAGGAAGAGTTCAGGAGCCTGCATGGTGACGGGAGAATCCAACAATCCACATCACAGGCTCCGCATCTTCATCAACCCGTCAAAACCTTTGACGTTTTGACTTGGTTGAATGAACATGAGATTTACATGCTTAGATTTTTTTAGACAATCATTATTTAACCAGTTGCTTGGAAAACCAGAAGAATCACTCTTTTGATTCATTTGATTCGAGGCTTGATGAAAAAATAGTGGATAGGAATAAGTGAGGTTTATTTTAGACACAAATATAACACCTGACTTGCAGGGAGAGGGAAAACAATGAGCAAATGAAGAACGTCCATGAAAAGGAGAAAGCCCATGCATGTTGGTTCGCGAAGGGACACCTGTGTCTCTTCACGAAAGGCGCCACCAAGAGTAAATCCTGATCCAAAGTTTCTTACTGGAAGATAATCGCGTCATTACTACCCATCAGTTGACCTTCCGATTACGAAGCACCATTGACTGGTCTCGCCATCATGTCAAGTTAATGACGAAGATTTAAAGCAGACATAGAACAATGTTTCAGTACCATGTTTTCCTGTGTGACACATCCCGGCTCGAAGAAACTGATGGAGCATGTAAGACGTCGATGCAGCGCTAGTAAATGCGATGATAGCAGACCTACAGTAACTTAACATCAATATTTTCTGCCTTCTTCATTCGAAAGATATAATTTCGTCGTTTCACGTCCTCAAACGCGAGGTTGGTTCGATCTGCCGAGGTGGTAAAGGTGCCTTGCTTTTTTTAACACCGGTCCTGCTTTTTATCGCCGGTGATCTCGGGGTGACGCTTGTGCTTGTTGGAGCCAACTGGATTAGCTTCCCACCGGGAGCGAGAGGACGGATGTGAAGTTCCTCTTTCGTCCGCTCTGGCTGCTTCTTCCTAACTCGGTCCTCATTACGAGCCAGCGGTGAACCCAGATTATGTTTTGTCTCGGTCTTTTGTCTCCTTACCGCCTTCTGGATTTCATCTATTTTCAATAGAAATGTCACAAAATATATGTGGCTGAAATCAGGCCGTTAATGGAGATGAGGAAAATGTGTGGAATTCGATAAATTTAAAGCCAGCACCAAGAAAGTCTCAGCTACATCTATCCCTGGTGCAATGTAAACATTTCGTACTTCTGGTACCATCTGAAGCAAAACAAATTTTCCTGTCAACTATATTGATATTTTCTGTTCATTTCTCCCTGCTGAAGAGAATTTGAACGGCTAAAATGAAATTGTTCTCTTCTCTGAATTAATTCCATTGAAATACCTATTGACATTCCTTCTATATGGTTGGCAAAAAAGGTAAGCCACTCGAAAATTTGCAATAAAATTGATATTTCGGAATTATAAAATCTTAAAAATGTGACGAAACATTGTATGATTATTATTGTATCAATAATACCTCAAGGGTTCGTCACATTTCATAAGCCTGCAGCTACTCATTCTTGAGACGCAACCAATTTAGTTGGAATGGTCAACATTCTGAGTGAACACGCGTGCGACTCCTATTGCGAAGCACCAATTCCACCCATTGTTGCCATGCCCCTCTTTCCCGACCCGTGTATGACGATGAACACCGAACAATGCGGTTGGAGAGGAATGGCGCAAATTCAGTCGGAATTCAGAAGCAATTGACCAATTCCGCCCACGGCTAAAGAAAGTTTTAGAAAACAAAAGGGGACACATGGAAAAATCTTTTAGCCGTATTCGAATTAAGGTGGTCAAAAGACAATAGAATAGGCTTGAGTTGAATGATGATGCGGTTGTCATCTGTGTATGTGTGTATTCGAAACAGCAATGGTAGTAGAATGGAAGAAAATTGAAATGGTTGTGCATTGCATTACAATTTAAGGAAGTATCATCTAAGCTGCAATTGCGCGCTGCTACACCTCTACACTCTTAGAAAACAGTGAGCGATTTCCGAGAAAGGGAGCGAAACTGGAGTTAGCAATTTTACTACCTAAAAGCAAGAAAGTAATGTCGCTTACCTGTCTTTTCCCCTGAGATTAACGACTAACTTTTTCTACTAGTTTGAAAATAACTCTCTTTCATTCGCTTCGCGCTCTGAAAAAGGTCCAAAAAGGTCCTTTCCAATTGTATACATTTCATCACATTTGCAGGAGAAAGCCTGATAATTCATGAGGATGCATGACGTTTTCCCCATGACATTTTCAGATAGTGAAAAACGCACATTAGGCAACTTCTCAAGTTTTAAAAATTATCCATACAGACATGAACATAATTTTTTAGGAAAGTCAATTGTAGATTCACGCCTAACAATGGCAATCACATGTTTCTTCACTCAGAATATTGACAATTTTGACAAATTCAGTGATCAATCACGAATGAATAGTCACATACCCATGAAATTTAAACAAATGTTTAAGGGAAAAAACGCAAGGAAATTACATTTTCAATTTATTTCATTCAAAATTAGGAATTCTAAGCAAATATTTGGATGGTTTAATACTTTAGCCAATCCTGCATTTCTAATTTAGGCTGAGAAATCCTTCAAAACTCCACTCGGTATGAATATGCGACTTTGATTGTCATAAATAGCTAAAACAACCCAGAAACCAACATACTTATGGAGGCACAGAGAGGCATCTGCTGAGGGATGATTCACTACTACGATATTTGTCATTAATAGCTGAATGAACACCGATAAAGAGTGCCCAGTCAAAGTAAAGCCTAATAAACACCATTTATTTTTCTCTACACGTATTTGCGAAAACGAAGTTGCAGGCCTGCATTTCTTATTTGCAAGCACGATGCTCAACATCAGGAAAATTAATGTGACATATTGGTCGCTGCTAGGCAATCCAGGGTCATGTTCTGTACATTTGTCTTAAGGGAGTCAGCTTGCTTTCGTGCAATAGATGTGTTCTTCTCTAGCGCTATGGCTGTCCCTGATGATCTTAGATTTGGCTGTAAATTCAAGCGTTGACTAATCGCTACCCTAAGAGGTCCTAATGCATACCAGTCACTCTATCTCATAAAGGAAGAAATTTCATCTCATGCCAGTAAGGCATGAGATGAAATACTCTACTATGCCATACTCTACTAATAGAGTATGGCATATGTTGATATGGACAATTATTATGGATGGCTGCAGGACACTCACCCATGGCCAGAATTGTAGGACTACCTTGAAGATGAGGAGGTGGGGCTCGATTGTTTCCTTGTGAGCGTTTGGGTGGGATGTCTTCCATTTGCACTGGAAAATGTATACTGGAAGTCTTAAACATTCCAACAAAAAGAGTGACATTCCTTAATTTAAAAAGTTGAGACAAAGTCACCATTTGGAGGAGATTTAGCCTGAGTAAAAGGCCGCAGACGAGAAAGGACTTCATCATTTATTTTCCCATGTCCCAGTGGGATTCCTCCAGCTGGAAATGAAGAATTCATAAGATGGTGATACAGCAGGTCTTCTTCAATAGGTCGCGTATTCCAAAAAGCGCAAAGGCACGCTCAAGAAAGGCTGTGAAGGTAGAGCATTACCAGGAATTCTGGAGGCTTGGTCATAACCTTGGTAGGATCTTGATAGGGTCCCATTTACTCGAACTGCAAAATATAAAGAAATAAATTATTGCGGAAGATATAACTTCTCTCTTTAGAAGCGTCCCTTATGGAAAAGTCCTACAATAAACCAATAAATACTTCTTAAAGTAAACCTATATACTTTTCCTATAGGTTTTTGAAAGAGAACAACCTATAGGATCCCTGTAGGGTCCTATAGGACTCCTGATCTATAGGAGTCGATGAAGTTTTTGGGGTTTTGAAACCCAAGAATTACAATCGGAATTACTAAATGAGATAACTACTGAAGTCAGTATAATTATCGCTGCTTTTTGCTCTAAATCCATTACCTGGAGGGGCTTTCCCATGGTGGGGACATTTATATTTTCAGTACTAGTACTGCCTGTACCAGTATAACGCTCTGCCTATGCACACATCTGTCTCATGTTGGACGGCGTTTCTGCGAGCTTAGTTCTTTCCCTGAGGAGAGGAAGATCGTTCTCCCCTGAACCTGATGAACTGAACAGGACCTGCGAAGCTCATATCAAAACTGAAACTCCAGTCCTGAAATTTATTTCGATTAAGGTGAACTTTTCCTCAAATGGGGTTCTCAAAAGGAATATGAGCTTGTTTACAGCCTGTGTTCCATACTTCTGTCTGGAATACGGAGATAGCAAAATAAGGAAGTGTTCAAGATTATTGATTGCTATAATAAGGCAAGGCGAGACATATGGAGAGGTACAAAACACTCCTATGAGGAATGATGCCGTGTATGGGTCTGACATTGGATTACTGATGGAATGGCAATATCGGGAAGCAAATAGTTACTCGATATTGGAAATATTGGCCAAGGTGCAGCCAACGTGCCCAGTGATGGTCCAGCATTAAACCAATATATTGTGCTACTAGGGTTGGGAGTGAGCATTCCGATAGGTGACATTAAAATGTTGACCCAACGTTCAGCCAGTGTTGAACTTTGGCGTTCATCTAAGAATTGCGATGAGCGAAATTTAAATATTGAATTATTTTAAGATAAAATGCCACCACAAGGCAGGGAAGGTTCAAATTTACCTTTCTTACATTGCTGATTAAAGTTTCGTTTGCTACCTAGGTCATTTATCCTCCCTCAACACAATGACCGATACAGGGATGGGGAGGAAGGGAGATTATAGAAGCGCTTTTCTGCTGATAATTTCTATATCTCCCACTGTACTAACAGATGTGCACTCCATCACAAAAATGAAATGATTTGGTGGAAAGTGAAGATTATCAACTATCGATTACCGACCAGTTCGACTGTGTAGGAAGAATCCATTCATCCTCACATGGAGGTTCATCAGGAACCACAAGTCTTATTTACTATAGTAATTGCTGTCCAGTGCAGTAGTCACTCTTGGTATCAGATGTTGAACAATAGTAACGTTTGCTGCTGATGGCATAAAGATATGTGACAGGAGGGAAGATGCTCTATACAAGGAACATTCACTCTTTCTGCGGTTTAGGTGAATGCGTCGCACATATTATAATACCTCTTCTTCAGTCATATGACAACTTGCTGATTTAGTTACGTTTGGGAATTGTAACGAGTCATCGTTTCTCGTCGTGGAATCTGGCAATGTCCTTACTACCACACGTTACTGCAAAACTTTGCTTTCAATTTATACTTAAGGAAAGTGAAGATTCCATAGGAATATCTCGAAAGTCGTGTGAGAAGGTGTGTCCTAAAGATAACCTAAAAGAAGCCTTGAGTCCCTGGAGCAGAGGTAACACTTACGAAAATGGCAAAAGGATTTCTAAAGGTATATATAGGAATCCTATATGACCTATAGGGTTCCCTATAGGACATAGGGTTTCGTTTTGAAGTTCTCATTAGGCCACCAGATGGAGGGATGGGTCTCGCATTTCTCACAGTACGCAAAAGTGCCCTCCCCTCTATCAATGGGAGCATCTTTCACAGGAATGTTTCGTACCTCCCTGTATATCTCCCTTTGCCTCATTGTAGCAATCAATAAACTTGAACACTTCCTTATTTGTCATCCCCATATTCCATATAAAATTATGGCGTTCAGGACCGAAATAAGCTCATATTCCCTATGAGAACCCCGAATGGATAAAAAGGTTTATCTTATCTGAAAGATGTATTCACGGTATTCATATGTGCTGCCTACCATTTCCTAAAGCCCCAGAGAAGAACAATACTTCTTGCAATTGAAGAAAGTGGATGCGCAATCCAACACATTCTGGCGATATTTGTGCCAGGGGTCAAAAGTTTTACAGACGTAGGCAGTACTAGTACTAGAAATGCAAATGCCCTACCATGAGAAAACCCCTACTAGCTAATTAGTTAGCACCAAAAAGAGACCCTAATCTTGACCCAGGTGGGCATTCCCGTTGTAATGCAGGGTTTCGAAACCAAAAAAGCCTCCCGAATCCTATAGGTCAGGAGTCCTATACGAACTTATATGGAACCTATAGGATCTTATTGATTTTTCGTGTTTCAAAACCTATAGGAAAGTCTAAAGGTTTCATGTAAGAGATATCTATAGGTTTTCTATAGGACATTTCCGTAAAGGAAGCAGAGGATTTATTTGTCATGGTCTGCTATCGGAAGTGATCTTCCTCTAGGGCTTAGGGAATGTCCACAATTCATAGAGTCCGTTGAGTTTCCTATTGGGATCTTATAGGTCTTATAGAAGACCTATACATTCAATACATACATTCCCATAGGGAATACATACAATCATGTAGAATACAATACATTCCCATAGGATTTCTATTGGGCTTCCTATAGGAAAGCATGTGACCTATAGGACTTATGTGATTCCCATAGAAACCTCATATATCCTTACGGAGCCTAGCATACGCCTATACATTCGTATAGGAATCCCATAGGTCCTATGAGAAACGTATCGAATGCTATACAATTCCTATAGGAATCTTTTTGACTCCCTTTTGGAATCCATGCTTCCCTATGGGAACCCTACAGGTTCTATAGGAATACTACAGGGTGTTCGAAAAGTCACTGTGCAGTAGAATTCACGACATGTAGGTGACCTCACTGTTGCTAGGAATTACAAACAANTAAAGCCCCAGAGAAGAACAATACTTCTTGCAATTGAAGAAAGTGGATGCGCAATCCAACACATTCTGGCGATATTTGTGCCAGGGGTCAAAAGTTTTACAGACGTAGGCAGTACTAGTACTAGAAATGCAAATGCCCTACCATGAGAAAACCCCTACTAGCTAATTAGTTAGCACCAAAAAGAGACCCTAATCTTGACCCAGGTGGGCATTCCCGTTGTAATGCAGGGTTTCGAAACCAAAAAAGCCTCCCGAATCCTATAGGTCAGGAGTCCTATACGAACTTATATGGAACCTATAGGATCTTATTGATTTTTCGTGTTTCAAAACCTATAGGAAAGTCTAAAGGTTTCATGTAAGAGATATCTATAGGTTTTCTATAGGACATTTCCGTAAAGGAAGCAGAGGATTTATTTGTCATGGTCTGCTATCGGAAGTGATCTTCCTCTAGGGCTTAGGGAATGTCCACAATTCATAGAGTCCGTTGAGTTTCCTATTGGGATCTTATAGGTCTTATAGAAGACCTATACATTCAATACATACATTCCCATAGGGAATACATACAATCATGTAGAATACAATACATTCCCATAGGATTTCTATTGGGCTTCCTATAGGAAAGCATGTGACCTATAGGACTTATGTGATTCCCATAGAAACCTCATATATCCTTACGGAGCCTAGCATACGCCTATACATTCGTATAGGAATCCCATAGGTCCTATGAGAAACGTATCGAATGCTATACAATTCCTATAGGAATCTTTTTGACTCCCTTTTGGAATCCATGCTTCCCTATGGGAACCCTACAGGTTCTATAGGAATACTACAGGGTGTTCGAAAAGTCACTGTGCAGTAGAATTCACGACATGTAGGTGACCTCACTGTTGCTAGGAATTACAAACAATAAATTATGTAAATCGGGGATGGTGCTAATATTGGATGAATCATTGAGTGGAAATTCATGTACAAGCGTATTTGATGATGCAATCCACCACGCAGTACCATGCTAAATACATGCAACAAAATGATTTAATTCTACTGAACAGTGACTTTTCCAACACCCTGTATAAGATTCCTATATGTTCTTTTAGGATTCCTATACATTCTCATGAAATTTCTATAGGACTCTTTCGCAAGGGGTAGCAAGTAAGTCACCTTTTGGACGTGGTTTAGGGGCGAGTTTAGGCTTTGGAGCAATCGGAGGATAAGCACGGTGTGCACCAGATACAGTGTGAGTTGGAGGAGGATAAGGTGCGGAGGGAGTCCGCCGAGGAGCAGGTACGGGATGAGACCGACGTGGAACGGGCACAGGATGAGACTGACGAGGAGCGGGCACAGGATGAGATTGACGAGGAGCAGGTATAGGATGCTCCCGAAGAGGAGCAAGTGGAGAATGATTCCGACGAGGAGCAAGTGGAGGTTGATTCCGTAGAGGAACAGAAGGAATTTGATCCTGTCCTTGAGGGAGCCTTGCTGGGGTCTTTTCCCGAGGATCTGGAAAATATTTACATAATGAAAAAGTCAAGCCGGAGAGGATCATTTCTTCCTTTTTATAGAGAAAGAATGGCCGAATAAGAGAAAGAAACGAAGGAAAAGCCGTATGAGGAACAGAGGAGATGCTATGCTTTAATTACTCGATAAAACGACCGAGAAATGGCAAGGTAACTACTTTAGGTGTAATTCACTTTCAACCACTAGCACCATCCGGTTTACTGGTTGGAACAGTTTCTTATTTCGATGCAACTTAATAAATAGGTAATTTGATTTTCATGTTGATTCCTAATCTTATTTATGAACTTAGGGTAGGAAAATACTGTACCATCATCGTTACTGGGTTAATTTAAATCAAGTGACTTGTCGGTCTATCTGTCCTATAATCCTGCTACCGCCCAGTCAAAATTTTTTTGTCGGGCCATCTATGGCTTTTCGCCGACGGGAATATAAGCCGTAGTTGGGCTATGATTGCTACTTGGTTGGCTCACGGTTGGTTTAAGCCGGCTTATACGAGTCGGGCATGTCCTGTTGGCCCTTCATTGGGCTAACTTTGGCTAATTGCTGGGAAACCGCACATGTCCCAACCATCGGCCTACTTTTCATTATGGTGAAAAGGTATAGGGAAAAAACCGGGAAAAAATGCATCAACATCTTCATGCATATTTTGACCTCTTAGTGCTCCTTCGTCTGGTAGATGAGGGAGCATGGCCTTATCTGAGTACCTTACACGGGTTCACTCCTATCCCCAGAACATCCCAAGCAACATCTCTTCTGGATGCTGAGGCATCCAGGAGCGGAATCACTTGGGAATGCAAGGGTGACTGTCCTCCCACAGAAGGTTAGACACACCTTCCACGTAATTGAACACATGAGATAATACCAGTAAAGGAAGGTAATGTAGTCGCGTGGCCTATTGTGGAAAGCAGAAGGATCCTCCCACGGACCTCCGGGCCGGAAGTTCCGGGTTTATTCGAGAACAAGGTTACATCTTCAGAGAAATGTTAAAAGGAATTCGATTGTCTTCCTCTGAGATCTATGTGAGAAACCATAGGGAACCGTGTCAAAGGACAGGGGATTCATCTCAGTAGTATCCGGGAAGTGACTCCCCACTACGATCACTTTGGCTCCATCTCACGCCGGTTTATGGGACCTTCTCAGCCACATTGGCCTATCTTCGACGAATGATGGGCCGGCCCATTCAGTAGTGACTCACAGGTGTGAGTTGGCCTGCCGAAAATGGGCCAACTCCCCCAGCAATGGCCCGAAGATAAACCTACTAAAAATTTTGACTGGGCGTATCCTGATGCAAGATGCCTATAAGCCTATGCCCTTCCAGACCATAGGGTAAGCAGAAGGACACGGGACGATGCGTATCATTGGCATTCGGAAGTATGCCAATGCGCATGATCCAGTATCCTTCCACCTCCCGTAGAGAGATGCAAAAGCCTTGTGCCTTAGGTTAAGTCAGTAGGATTCTCGGTCAGATAAGCCGAAAAGTTCTTGGACATGAATGGGTCAGGATTGGTGCTAGCATGAGTATCTGTCATCAATCCCCCTCGAAATGCTCCCGCAGATCATGTTCCTCCGAATTCGAACTTTCGAAGTCGGACCTAATCTGGAATCGACAACTTAACATCTATTCACGTTTTTCCAGTTTCCTTGAAGAATTGTGTGCATGAGAATGGCATAGGTCCGTCATAGGCTTTAAAAATCAGTCCCTCCGAAATGTGCCTCCGAAGTTGGAATATTTTCCGGAGTCAGCAATCTAACTTATTCCTATACCAACTTTCCAGCCTCTCATTATTCCTAGAACGTGGTCCAATCGTCCAACGTCAGTCACTCAATCAGTCACTCAATATCGTCAATATATATTCCTTGCTGCCTATTCAAAATCTGACAGAACTTTTGCTAAAATTGATGCTCAGAAGAAAGTGTACTCCAAACCAAAGTTGGTATCAAGTGAAACACTGAATTCGCGTTTGGAAGAATGCAATTCTGGCGAATGATGTATTTTATTTCAGGATATTTGATACATTTATTTTTAGGGGAAACAGCTTGGCATAGTAGTGGATGACTTCTCTCAAGGAAATTATTTCATTTATATTTCAACGTGAAGGAATTCTGTACTTCGTCAGTTGACCCTCTGTTTCGTTTTCATTGAAAGGTGTTCGTGCTTGGAGTTCGGCCGAAGTTAGGGTGAAAACGAAGTTTGAAACTTGTTCAATATTTTTTTGCCTTAGGATTTTGAGGTCATACCCGAACATTCCCGAAAAAACATTATTTTAACTCCATGAAAGTAAATTTTAAATTTGCAGTTTGACCAAAGGCTAACAAGCACAATCGCATATTGTAGAAGGAAAGGTTTTACTGCACAAAGGTTGACTCGACGATGTCAAATGCGCTTAGGAATTACCAATGAGAGAGGAATGGGATAATTTCGAATGACAAATGCATTGAGACGAATGACTAATTCACGCAACGAAATTTCTGAATTGAAAACATGGATTTTTAACAAAATCCATGCTTTCCATCCATTTAAAACCGGTAATGGTCGTAGTCCTTTCAATCCAGCTGACAACACCTGAGCATGTTGCCAGAAGAAATGCTAAATAAGCATATCCTACTCTGGAAATTCATCCATGCATGTCCATGTATGTTCTTTCCTCACGTGAAAAGGTCTCTGCGACCTCCATTGCTCTTCGTCAAAAGAAGAGAGCTCGTGCACACAAGATGAAGTTCCTAGTGACGTCGTTTTATAGCGGCAGGAATCTGAGCAGAATATGCCAAAAGGATTACATGACGAGCCTGGTCCCAGTCGTATGGTGGTGAGATTCACGGCATTCTAAATTTCAGCGATGTTATTCATATCTACCTTGAGATCCTACACGTTCAGGTATTAAAGGTACGAATCCAAGCTTATGACAAGACAAACTTTTACCCCTGGTTGCCCAATATTATCCTGTTGCAGGGACATGTTTGCGTTTAATTTCTGTTACCGGCAATTGATTCCAAGAAACAAGATATTATTTCATCCAATCTCGAATATTTTTCGCGTAAGCAGAGAAATATATCATGTTACTGAAAATGTTTATAGTTCTTTCTGTGGCCATTCGTTGAAAAACCATTGGGTGTTCTCGCAGTTTTGCACCATCACACACACTGCCCTCATCATATATAGATCACCATGCGCACCACCTTTTCCTTAACACTTCGAGGCTAACTAAGTACATGATTGTGATTATCCCATTTTTAGATTAGACTTGACTAAGGTTCAAACCTTTGTAATGTTGATTTGCGAACAAAGTGAAATTAATGAGCTATTTTGCTGGCTCTTTACCGTTCCATTGATGAAATCCACATTAAGTGAAAGTTGGTGATCGTGGTAGGCCAAATGACCAACCTTGTCAAAGAATAAAGCTACGTTGAATTATTGTAGGTAATTTGATTTTCATGTTGATTCCTAACCTTATTTATGAACTTAGGGTAGGAAAATACTGTACCCTCATCGTTACTGGGTTAATTTAAATCAAGTGACTTGTCGGTCTATTTGTCTATCTGTCCTATAATCCTGCTACCGCCCAGTCAACATTTTTTTGTCGGGCCATCTATGGCTTTTCGCCGACGGGCATATCAGCCATAGTTGGGCTATGATTGCTACTTGGTTGGCTCACGGTTGGTTTAAGCCGGCTTATAGTCGGGCATGTCCTGTTGGCCCTTCATTGGGCTAACTTTGGCTAATTGCTGGGAAACCGCACATGTCCCAACCATCGGCCTACTTTTCATAATGGTGAAAAGGTATAGGGAAAAAAAACCGGAAAAAAATGCATCAACAGCTTCATGCATCTTTTGCCCTCTTAGTGCTCCTTCGTCTGCTAGATGAGGGAGCATGGCCTTATCTGAGTACCTTACACGGGTTCACTCCTATCCCCAGAACATCCCAAGCAACATCCCTTCCGGATGTTGAGGCATCCAGGAGCGGAATCACTTGGGAATGCAAGGGTGACTGTCCTCCCACATAAGGTTAGACACACCTTCCACGTAATTGAACACATGAGAAAATACCAGTAAAGGAAGATAATTTAGTCGCGTGGCCTATTGTGGAAAGGAGAAAGATCCTCCCACGGACCTCCGGGCCGGAAGTTCCGGGTTTATTCGAGAGTAAGGTTACATCTTCAGAGAAATGTTAAAATGAAATGTATTGTCTTCCTCTGAGATCTATGTGAGAAACCATAGGGAACCGTGTCAAAGGACAGGGGATTCATCTCAGTAGTATCCGGGAAGTGTCTCCCCAGTACGATCACTTTGGCTCCATCTCACGCCGGTTTATGGGACCTTCTCAGCCACACTGGCCTATCTTCGACGAATGATGGGCCGGCTCATTCAGTAGTGACTCACAGGTGTGAGTTGGCCTGCCGAAAAGGGGCCAACTCCCCCAGCAATGGCCCGAAGATAAACCAACGAAAAATTTTGAAAGGGCGTATCCGGAAGCAAGATGCTTATAAGCCTATGCCCTTCCAGACCATAGGGTAAGCAGAAGGACACGGGACGATGGGTATCATTGGCAATCGCAAGTATGCCAGTGCGCATGATACAGTATCCTTCCATCTCCCGTAGACAGATGCAAAAGCCTTGCGCCTTAGGTTAAGTCAGTAGGATTCTCAGTCAGATAAGCCGAAAAGTTCTTGGACGTGAATGGGTGGATTGGTGCTAGCATGATTATCTGTCATCAATCCCCCTCGAAATGCTCCCGCAGATCATGTTCCTCCGAATTCGAACTTTCGAAGTCGGACCTAATCTGGAATTTACAACTTAACATCTATTCACGTTTTTCCAGTTTCCTTGAATAATTTTGTGCATGAGAATGGCATAGGTCCGTCATAGGCTTTACAAATCAGTCCCTCCGAAATGTGCCTCCGAAGTTGGAATTTTTCCGGAGTCAGCAATCTAACTTATATACTATACCAACTTTCCAGCCTCTCATTATTCCTAGAACGTGGTCCAATCGTCCAACGTCAGTCACTCAATCAGTCACTCAATATCGTCAATATATATTCCTTGCTGCCTATTCAAAATCTTACAGCACTTTTGCCAAAGTTGATGCTCAGAAGAAAGTGATCTCCAAACCAAAGTTGGTATCAAGTGAAACACTGAATTCGCGTTTGGAAGAATGCAATTCTCGCGAATGATGTATTTTATTTCAGGATATTTGAGACAGGGGAAACAGCTTGGCATAGTAGTGGATGACTTCTCTCAAGGAAATTATTTCATTTATATTTCAACGTGAAGGAATTCTGTGCTTCGTCAGTTGACCCTTTGTTTCGTTTTCATTGAAAGGTGTTCGTGCTTGGAGTTCGGCCGAAGTTAGGGTGAAAACGAAGTTTGAAACTTGTTCAATATTTTTTTGCTTAGGATTTTGAGGTCATACTCGAACATTCCCGAAAAAAAACATTATTTTAACTCCATGAAAGTAAATTTTAAATTTGCAGTTTGACCAACGGCTAACAAGCACGATCGCATATTGTAGGATGAAAGCTTTTACTGCACAAAGGTTGACTCGACGATGTCAAATGCGCTTAGGAATTACCAATGAGAGGGGAATGGGATAATTTCGAATGACAAATGCATTGAGACGAATTACTATTTCACGCAACGAAATTTCTGAATTGAAAACATGGATTTTTAACGAAATCCATGTTTTCCATCCATTTAAAACCGGTAATGGTCGTAGTCCTTTCAATCCAGCTGACAACACCTGAGCATGTTGCCAGAAGAGATGCCGTATGTGAAGAAATGCTAAATAAGCATATCCTACTCTGGAAATGCATCCATGCATGTCCATGTATGTTCTTTCCTCACATGAAAAGGTCTCTGCAACCTCCATTGTCTTAGTCAAAAGAAGAGAGCTCGTGCACACAAGATGAAGTTCCTGGTGACGTCGTTTTATGGCGGCAGGAATCTGAGCAGAAGATGGCAAAAGGATTACATGACGAGCCTGGTCGCAGTCGTATGGTGGTGAGATTCACGGCATTCTAAATTTCAGCGATGTTATTCATATCTACCTTCAGATCCTACACGTTCAGGTATTAAAGGTACGAATCTAAGCTTATGACAAGACAAACTTTTACCCTGTTGCCCAATATTATCCTGTTGCAGGGACATGTTTGCGTTTAATTTCTGTTACCGGCAATTGATTCCAAGAAACAAGATATTATTTATTTATTAAACAAGATAAGATTTAATCCAATCTCGAATATTTTTCGCGTAAGCAGAGAAATATATCATGTTACTGAAAATGTTTATAGGTCTTTCCGTGGCCATTCGTTGAAAAACCATTGGATGTTCTCGCAGTTTTGCACCATCACACACACTGCCCTCATCATATATCCTAGTGGTACGCGTGGTGGAAAAGGAATTGTGAAGCTCCGATTGATTCATGTACTAACACTAATAGGGTAAAAATCTAATCTGAACTGATTCCAAGTTTGGAAACATTACAACTAAACGCTTGTTTCTTACACTTTGTTCGCACAAAAATATTTGTACATGTAGGGAAATTACATCACAATCGATCATTAATAAGGAATTCAATCTCGAAAAATGGTAATGGCAAGCCATAGATAAGCGTTTTGTATGGGTCTCAAAAGCCATAGCGGCTGCAGCATCATATAATTCTCGTTAATCTAAGCAATAAATTGAACACTTACATTTCCTGTCTTCATTTGGCTGAAAGGGAAAGGAAACTCACGTTCTTGTATTTGAATCCTATGCGATGAGTGAACACATGTCGACTTCCTCAGCTCCATCAACTCTATCTCCTTCTTTTGGGACAGTAAATTCCTCTGCTTGAAATGAGAGAAATTATAGAAAAAGCTATATTTCACTGATAAAAGTTCACTCTTACAACGATGAACAACTTCAAAGGAGGTTGACGATTCTATCAATACAATCGTATTAGTGAATATTTTCATGATGTTATGCTTTCATCATGGAAGTGGGCAGGCTTCACCCTGCTGGAAAAACCCTCATGAAATCCTCCTGAGGTTTTCCAACGCAGGTTTCATAATGTCTCGCGACCTTTTCATGAGAACGTTGTGAGACTTTATGAAACCTCACTGTATCATCAAATACTCATGAGAAATTCGAGAGAAAAGAACTATTGAGTTTATAATGAAGTTTTTCCAAGAGGGGCATATCCATTGCCCAAAGCGTTTTGGAGGTTGAGGCCCAAAACATCGACAAACGACAACTTTTATTTCCGGTTCTTCATTAGTGAAGACAAAATCCACAGATAAGTGAGGGTGAAGTCATGATCTCGGAAGCTAATTGCCAATATGAAAGCGGGAGATGATTTTACCTGCTGGGTAACACTGGCCTGAAATATTCGGGCTTAGAATTTGTCACCTAGGCTAGCAATGACCCAATGAGCATGTAGTGCATGAAATGGACGTAGAGAGAGCATTCCTTTAAGGAAATAGTAATACCCTACCTCCATTCACCAAAATGTTAGAATTCGACAGATGGGTTATGTTATTGAAATTTTTGAATGATCGAGCATAAATATACCAGTAGAAAACACAGGAAAATTAGTGGTTAAACGATTTATTAGAAAATTGTGGAAGGAGACTTAGTACGGGTCATATCCCATACGAAAATGTCTTATAGGATTCCTACATATTCCTAAAGGAATATATAGGAATCCTATAGGTTCCTATAGGCCTCATAGGGTTCAGTTCAGGACCTATATGGTTCCCAATAGATCCTATAGAGTTCCCTATAGAACCTATAGAACCTATAAGATTCCCTATAGAACCTATAAGATTCCCTATAGAACCTATAAGATTCCCTATAGAACCTTTAGGGTTCCCTATAGGACCCAAAGGGTTTCCTAGTCAGGATCCTGATGATACGGCCCATTTATGGAAAAAACTTTGGAATGAAATTCCGTACGGTACATTTGCTTAAAATAGGCAGCGAAATTGACCGATTTGGCTTGATTTGATGGTCAACTGATGCCACAAGAGAACACAGCTCTGGTGGAAATATTGGAAGAATGAATGTTATGGATCATAAGAGGAATTTCCAGAAAATTACCTATGGAAAGGTAAAAAAAAAACTGCTGAAGGACTTACGTTACGGATCAGTGGAGTTGGTATCTTCTGTGTTGAACTATCTGGTTGCTGCTCTGTAACCTGCTTCGACGCTCTCTCACGTACTTCAGAAGCAGTAATACCCGACTAAAATGTAAGATTTATACTCGTAATTCACGATGTCATTTCAAATTAATCATTGGCAATCCGTGCAGAAGTGGGATTTACTGATTCTGTTCTGCCGGAGTTGGCATTTAATTTGTAAACTCATTTGTCTTTTGTTGCTTCCACCTATTTTGCCTTAGATGAGGAATCGTCCACCTCATGTCAGAAAAATGTGGGAATTATGGGTGAGCCCCCACACCAATGTGGCCTCCTATCGTATTGATTTGCTGCATAGCAAGTTTGCCTGGTCTTTTGGCACATGCAATACTTGGCCACGTGTGCTTAACCGATGTCGATATTACAAAAGGAAATATGAAACCCATTCCCATGTGACTAAGATAGGAGAGAGGACCTTGGCGTTGCGAAGTAATGTGCCATATTGAAGACGGGCTTTGCGACCACGTATCCGGGTTTGGAATTGGATGACCGAAGCTCGGAGTCTCTGGTACCTTCTCCGACAAATGAAAGTCCTCACATTTTTCTGGATGATGATGGCAGCACGTGTTCGACGGATGCCCTCGGCAGTTCTAGATCTGGATAGGAAGGCAAAAATTACAACAAAAAGTGGTCCATGATATATCAAACCAACTTGATTCTGAGCCCATCTATAAGGAAGGAAAAGCCTCCTCCACGGATGGGATGAGCAGGAGTGAGTATTCCCCCTCAAGGAATTCTTGTTCAGACATGGGAGGAAGGGAGAAGAAACCAGACAGTGATCCCTATGTCCTCCTTCCACCGCATGGAAAGAACGAAAGAATTTATTCAGAATTGACTCGCTTCGTTGACCATTTTCCGGCGATTTCTCCCACTCGTGGCCGGAGAGGTCTTACTTCTCCTTAGAAACCTGTGAAAGAGCTACTTTACTCACGGTACTATCCCGGTCTCTTGCTTCGACAGCAGTATTACCTGTCGACATACCGAGTGACTTCCAATTAAGGCGCTATGGGCAGGGTACAGTAACAATTCCTTCCACCATACATTTCTTATTTGAACCCCATTGAATTCACGTTCTCTCCATTCAAAGCTGAGGTCAAGAGACAAATGGGTTCTATGTTAGCTTCCATTGTAGATCGAAAACGAGTTGCTGCTCAAGGGGTTTTTCTGGCACAATATCGCAAAAATTTTCTTGAGAGAAATTGTGATTGACGCAATTGAGAGAGTCTATACCGTGGATTTATGCCGCAGAGCATATTAACGTTTCTTCGATTCCATTGGCAGGTCATTGGAGGGAAAAGTCATTTCTGAAAAAAGAGGTTCTTTTTTATGCTGGGGAAGATGAAGTGACACTTCACTGTCTGGCTTGTCTCTCCTTCCTTCTTCCCCTGTCTAGTCATGAATTCCTTGAGGGGGAATTCTCACCCCTGCTTTTCCCATCCGTAAAGGAGGCTTTCTCTTCCTTACACATGGGCTCAGAATGAAGTTGGTTTGGTATATTATGAACTGAAAATAGGTTGTTTCACTTTTTCTACTCGAAATGTTTAAGTTTTTTGACAATCAAGGCATTAAAATTCAATTCCTATGACAAGGATCGCTCACTTGCGTGCAAGGAGTCCACGCCCACAGGTTTGTAGGAAGAGTACTGTTTTCTTGATATGCTTGAACTTGCGACGGGCTGAATAACCCTTGAAATGTTTTTGGATCACTANAAAATTCAATTCCTATGACAAGGATCGCTCACTTGCGTGCAAGGAGTCCACGCCCACAGGTTTGTAGGAAGAGTACTGTTTTCTTGATATGCTTGAACTTGCGACGGGCTGAATAACCCTTGAAATGTTTTTGGATCACTACAGCCTAAAACAAAAGCAAGAATTGTGAAGACACTTAAACCGAAAATAAGCTCATTTAATCCATTGCAGGTTAAGAAACAAAACCTTGGCATTGCGAAGTAATTTTCCATGGTGAAGACGGGCATTGTGAGCACGGATGAGCGTCTGTAATCGGATGACTGAAGCACGCAGCCTCTGATATCTTCTCTGAGAAATGAAAGCTCTCACGTTTTTCTGGATCTTGATGGCGGCTCGTGTTCGACGGATTTTCTCGGCAAGTCTGTATGTGTGCAGAAATGCAGTGTTACCGCTGTTGTCCTTCTTTTTTAGTTCACTGTTGATCTCGTCAATGTGAAGAAGTTGTCCAATATGATTCCGTTGTTTGAGTGGCCGCACGTTCTTTAGGTGCGCGTATACAAACATCCTCCTCACGTCTAAAGAAGTAGACGGTGTACTTCCGTCGAGACAAATAACCCCGGGAAATTTTCTGAATGAGAATGTGGCAGGCGAGAATGCGACCTGATAGACATGTTTCCATGTATGCCAAGGCATTGGTTCTGAGGAACAGCTTTGTCTTCCCAAACCTGTATTTCTCTTCATCCTTATTATGCAGAAAAAACAAACCAAGGAAATCCATCACCGATATGATCGATGTAGTCCTGAGGTAAAATAAATGACTCCAACCTGCATGATCCTCTGCATGATTTTGATGCAGGATGTTTTATAAACTGACGGGTCTTCCGCCAAGCCGAGGAATCCAATATTTTTTGAATTGATGAGAACTCGAAACCGCAAGAAAAACTCTTCGTAGGTCCATCTGATCGAAAAATATGCCTCCTGTATTAAGGTCTTTTGCTATTAACTGAACACAATCGCTGGTTACTAAGATACATTCGAAGGGAATCCAGCAGCCAGATTATAACTTTTGTAACAATTATAAATGAAAGATTGAAACATTTTACTATAAATTACGCCGGAATTTGAAAACGAAATAAGAAAGTGTTTGAGACCTTGAGGGAAACCCGAGTGTTGAGATGCGTATCGTCTCATACACTCCGCACGCTCGGAGTTGCTGTGTGACATTTTTCGGGTCAAAAGAGAATGGTTTCTTGTTGCGATTGGGTTTGATGCACCTCACGTAATGCGGAGTTGTGGCAGTCAATGTCTTCATCAGCTGATTCAGGGAGTCACGGAACTGTGAGCCCACCTGCACGAGGAAAACGATCTCAATGCAAAGATGCTCAAAGCTCGATACCTCAAATAAGACGTTGCGCAAGCTAGTTGGAGATGCAGACCGTCTGCTTTAAATGTTTTAATGCAGAATGAGAGACTTCGGCGGTCGAAGCTTTGCCGATGGACTTGGAAGGTTTCACCGGCTCCGACGCTCGTCTCTTCTTTGATTTCTCTGCCCTCTGCTCTTCAGTGAGGAACAGCTCTGCCACGTACGAATCCTAGAAAATATCCGTCATTTAAGAGAGGAAGGCTCTTAATTATATCAGCAGGAGAAAGAGTATCTGTGTGCGAGTCCGCGAGTGTACTGCTGGTGCTGGGCTTAAAACGAAGCAATCTGCATTCCCTATATTTTCTCCATACCTTATGCCCAGATATCTCTAATAAGTTTCAACAATAATGTCACAGTTTTCTGAGCAAACTAGAGGCCAACAAGTTTCTGACTGCAAAGCCTTTCTTACTCGCACGGCATTCGTATAGACAGGTTGGCCCAAAAAAGGGCACATTTTTCATTGCGCATTTTAGATATGATGCTTTCAATAATTATAAAAACCTCCGGTTACATGTAATGGAAAGGAGAAAGAGTTTGCAATAAGTTATTTTTTTCTGACTTGACATATCTTAAACAGTATCTTAGAAAAAAAACTTATTGAAATTCTATTTTTTAAAAACCAGCGTTTCGCTCACCGACTCGGCCTAACATCCCCTCGAAGGCCCAACACTCACGAGAAGGGAAGAGGAACGCTAATCTCAGCAGACATCGCGAGGATGATTGGATGTGCCTGCCGTCGTAGGCTGTCGTTGGGCAGAAATCCAATTTTTTTGGAACTGAAATTCAATAATTTATTTCTTAGTCGCCGTTTGAGATATTTAAATTCTGAGAAAAACATTTTGTAGCTGTCTTCTTTCTCTCCATTTCATGTAACCGGCAAACACCTAAAATGCGCACTGAAAAATGTGCCCTTCTTGGGCCACCATGTAGGTACATGTCGAAGTTAAACTTCGTAAAGCAATGCCAGCAACTCCGCCACTTAATTTTGCTGCAATTGTTTAAAAATAACAGAATCTACGACACAGCTTGATAACACCTCTTTGCCTCCATGGATGAATTCAGCTATCCCTGGGATACTATCCATCTATGTCCGCAATCAGTCAATTGAAAATCGTTTCAGGTATCGCAAATAACTTTACGTCACGTCGCGTTGTGCCTGGAGTTTCATAATCACTCTTTCGCCCATAACATCTCAGATGCGCTTGACTGGATATTTATCTTCGCCCCCCTCCTTTAAAGGGTTGGAATTGTCAATGACTTCTTACAGTTGGGTTCTGGTCCATCAGGAATTGCATTCAAGAGGGGAATCATGCTCTAAAGTAGGTTACGCATCATCACGAAGAGTCAGTGCATTGGGGGAAAATTTTTTCCTCAACAATGAAGCACTTTTCCTATCTTCCCCACACCAAACAGACTCACTGATGCTTTTCATGATCATTAAACATAGCAAAAATAACACCATCTCCGAAACTGGCCATCCTCATAGAACATTATTCGTGAAATCATTCAGATCATCTTCAAATCAGTTCCGTTTAAAAATAACACCATCCACGACACAGCTCAATAACCCCTCTTTGCCTCCATGAATGAGTTCAGCTATCCCTGGCATACTATCCATCTGTGTCGGCATCGACGAGAACGCAGCATTCCAACGACATTCACTAAAATGAATTCTTCAATCTACTTCATATTAGTCGACATGCCTCTAGGCCAACTCCTGCATATACAGGTACTTCATGTTCATCGCAGTCAAAATGGTTTTCCCGGCTGCTCTGGATCTCCGAGACTCTAGTTTCTTTTATCTTAACTTTGATAAAACAGGGAAGAGGCGCAGTGAAAAATCGTTGCTTTTGGCGATGAGTTGCGGAATTGCTTCATACTGAACCGTGGAAGCAGGTCTGGGATCCCCTGCGGAACGAATTCAATTTAGGGTTGGACCGTCAACATCGAATGCTGAAACACGTCAAGAGCGTTAAATTTGTATCCAGATATTGCAGAATATTTATGGTCTGTTGTGCATGGATCAGAATATATTAAGAAGTAAAAGTGAACGCACATGACTGTCTCTGGCCACAGCTATAAGCTCTTCATACACTATGTCCCGGTTCTTTTCGAGGAATCCTGCGCACTCATATTGCACCTGGTCGGCAAAATGGGAAATAATAAAGGCCGAGTTAGAGAGCCGCGGCTTGTTGAACTGCTCCTGCTTCTTGCATTTGTCGTACAGTTTCCCGATCCAGGACTTGTCCGAACCATTGGGCATCCGGCACTCTTCGTCTAACAATGATAGGATTCCCAGAGGTTTCCCTTCGATCAGGTCGATGCAAGGCTGATTGTCGTAAAAGTCGATGGACTTCCAGTCTATCTCCTCACGCGAGTATTCTTCTTGCTCCAATTTGAACACATGCTGCAGGGAAATTTATGATAAATATCTGGAAACTAATACGACTTCAAGAAACACATTGCTGGGGAATAGCGCTACAGAATTAGGCCATCACGATTCGGTAACTATGGTTAGAGGAAGAAGTGGTATTTTGTTCGCATAAAATGTTGTCTCCTCTTACCAAATGAAGGAAACAAGGAAACAGTTGCAACTTTGAAGCATGAGAATATCAAAATAACTTTTCTGTGTTCATGACAGTTTTTGGTTCGCACAATATTCTCTGAGAGAGGCGATGAGCGAAGCTTTTTTGGCGTGCATACCTTTAGCGGTCAACTGAGAAAGACCTTCGGTCTGAAAGGCCTTCTGGTAATATATTAGCATTGAAGTTCACTGTCTATCATATTTTTGGCACTCATGAGAGCAGCGGTAGTTGACGGCCTCTAAAGTTGCTCTTACGAGTTAGGAACAACATACGAGATGTGTGACAAGATGAGTATTCACCATGGAACAGTCCTTCGCATCATTGACGAGTGGCCGAAATTTCGGCATGCTATTGTTTTGTCGATTTCTAAGGTGCTCACTGTTGGGCGCAAGGAAACGCAATTCCTTGTGCACAGACAATTATTCGCCTGTTTTAAGTCAGAACGGAATGTGTTTCTGGCTACATCATGCCGAATAACGAGGCGTGGGTGCATCACTTTCTATGCCTGTTGTTTTTTATAGGGAACTTTAGGACTTTTGTGACTTAGTCTGTTAAACGTTCTTTGTATTTCCCAAAGACCTGCTCTGTTCATAACGTACTTTCACTGTTGAGGACAGGGTTGAAAGTAAACCACCTGTAGATATCGGGAAGAAAATGATATTAGAGCCCATATGACAGCTTTAACATATTCTAGACCCAGGGTGTTCAGATTTCCTTGCATTTAGATACTCTTGAAGGCTCCAGGCGATCGTAAATTAGGTATTGCCGTTGATGAGACAGTGTTTGGACGACAGCAGTTCTGCAGTTCGCAAGCAAAAATACTTTCAATGCTTGAAGCATATTGAAACTCGAACTCCAATGGCGCAATGCATCTAGGTATGAGGAATTTTTATTGAAAAGTAACGCCATTGGAGTAATCCTAGCTGGATGCTTAAATTCTTCAAAGTTAAAAATGCATGGTATCTATCAGCTTTTCTTTTTTGTGACGGATTATCTTCATCCGTACCTATTGGAATACACGTGCGATGCTATCCTTCACTTTTCAGCTGCACACTTTATAGTCTTGAAGAGACTTCATCCCCGCCGGCAGTTTATACCAATTCATCATTTCTTGCAGAAAGCCCAGTGGAATTAAACTTCCGCTTTGTTTTATTTTTCCTTTTCAAAAGCCCTTCTGGGAAGAACCGTGACTCCCAAGATCTTGATGAATATAATAATATTTTTCAAAACCTTTAGAGCAAAATTCTTTTAAATTAATAATTATTTTGGTACCCAGTAGTACCCAATAGCCGAGACAGTGATTACTGTGTTATTCCATAGATGCATGCTGCCTGCCACCATGAAACCAAATACATCCAGTATAACCAAGGCGTGCCACAGCTATGAAAATTATAAGTTTTTCCTAGACAAATTTTTGTGGTACTCCACATAGAGGTGACCGTGCACAACATGTGATTGATAAGGTGATCCTACATATTCAAACAGAAGATACAGAATGGAACTAACCTGACAGTACTGTTGCTGCAGTTTCTCATTGGCATAATTAATACAGAACTGTTCAAAGCTATTTATATCGAAACTTTCAAAGCCGTAGATATCCAGGATGCCAATGAAGCGAGATGGGGAAGATGTACTGGTAAGGCTCTTGTTGATACACTCCACAATGAATGCAAACTGGCTCATATAAATATGCTTTGCCAAAGCGTCCCTCGCAAAGACTGCCTCGGACGACACCATCGGCTTCTTGAACACTTCGCGTCTTTGCACAATATGTCTATTTGTCAACCATTTCGCCAATCTTTTTCGGTCCACTTGCAGCAGGTCACTTGCGATCTGGAGATGAGGGTCATCTTTCTGAAAGTAAAAGCAATTATCTGAAATAGATAACTCTTTTAAAAAATATCGCTGCGGATGAGGGCAGGGACGTGCATGTTACATTAGGAAGGGAACTAATTAACAGTTACGTTTATCCTGGCAGAAAATGAACTCCTTATCTGCACAATTTCCAATATTAGAACTGACTCTTCACAGATTCAATTCTTTGTTCATTACCATGATATTATCACTGCTCTAGGATAAGCAAGGCTGAAAGAAGGCATGTATGCATTGAACAGACAAAAATGAAGGCTCTATTGTTCCCATTTTTGACAATTAGTAGATGTTGAAAAATATTTTTTTTCAGAATTTGCCCACAGGAGCAATCTATTTTCAAATGTCCATGATTCTGGGAGAATACACTCACAGAAAGACTGACGGGTGTTTATACAACAGCACTGGATGACAAGCATGTGCTGTATACGATTAAGAGTCTTTTCAAGCAAGGGAAATGATTTAACCAGCATAAAATGCTACCTTCCTGGTTGAGATAATTTTTTTAATGTTTGTGACCATGGGTCGTTTACAGGGTGATCCTAAAAGGTGCACTCAAAAATAATATATTGTACAATTCCAAGCAATTGATGTATGGATTGGAACATGGTACTATGCTTACTATTGTCTTAAATTGTTGTGTGCTACATCACACCTCAACATGACCATTTGCACGTTCACGACACAACCTGATGCAACAGGATAGTTCGTTCGAAATTTTCACTAGTATGTCGGGAGGGGGGGTTATAGTGGCAACTGTTGCGATGATTTTTACTTCCAAATTGGTTTAATCCAGTCCTTTTAACCCAGTCTTTTATATATCCCCACAAGGAAAAGAATGCTGGTTTTACATTCGGAGAGTTAGATGGCCATGGTTTGGTCCTGCTGAGCCACATACGTGTCAATACTTGGGTGTTTTGAAGTCACAAAAAAATTGTTATACATTTTTGGATGTTGAGAAAAAGAAGGCAACACACTCACGGGAATTCGACATGACTCAGATTGATCTAGTGAATCCAGAATGGCAATGTTGCCAATATGCAATATAGCTGCCAGAACCCGGAATAACTGAAATTGCATCTTGCAGGAGATTCCAAAGGTCTTGAGGGCCTTCTGCGTCGCTAGAAACTGTTTTGAGTCGTCGATCCCGTCGATATAAGAGTTTCCGCCCTGATTCAGGTAATGGAACTTGTCTTGATGTACTAAAGGAAGGAATATTGAATTGAACACAATGCATGCATTTTGAATCCTAACCAGTTGACTAGTAGCGCAACCAGGGGAAGGGGGTTCAGCGATTTGTAATCCATCTTAGGGCCTCATGAGTCTACCTATCCTTCGTAGGTGTGGTCTTTAACGTGTCTAGAGAGGAGCATTCCCCTATTATTTAAACATGCATACAGCGTGATTAAAGTGTATGCCTCTCGCTTCAGAACGCTAAAGTACCGAAACGGAGGGGTAGGAAGATGCCATGACGAAGGTATTACAAATGTTTCTAAGGGAAACAAGCAGTAGAGCCCTTCCGAACGAAGCGATTGTGTCAGATGTGCGCAGGCTGGGGTGCCGTCGGTCGATGTCGAGTTGCAGCAGAACCTGTGATATCTCCAAAATTGGGAGACCTATTTACTTGGTTTATTTGAGTTTCATNGAGCCCTTCCGAACGAAGCGATTGTGTCAGATGTGCGCAGGCTGGGGTGCCGTCGGTCGATGTCGAGTTGCAGCAGAACCTGTGATATCTCCAAAATTGGGAGACCTATTTACTTGGTTTATTTGAGTTTCATGTTTATTTGAGTTTATTTGAGTTTCGATGGAGCTCTTAGAGTATTTTGGGTTACTGTTGGGCATTAAATCGACGAGGATAACGCTTTGCATGTCCCAGAACACGGTGATCTCTGTGTGGAATTCCTATGAGGTCGGTTCCTCGAGTATAAACGCCGTTGGCCATCGTCTCCTTATACTCATATTAATAGTAGAGGTTCCGTTAATATTTTCCAGCCGCCTAGGAGTGATTGCGTACCGTACTCTCTCGGCGGTCAGTAATTCAATAACGACTCACTATGCCCAAATCAAGGGCAGCAGCCGTTTTCAAAGAGTGTTGTGGTTAAGTCAATTGGAACCTTTCCGCGAAACTGCCTTGTCAAGTGCGGGAATGATGAATCTCTGCATATGAATTATTTCACCGGCTTTCTAAGTAAACGTCTGGAGGGAAAATCGAGGGACATTGCTTCCGTACTGACCCTGCGTCAATGGTCATATCTGGGCAAAATTACAATTTATACTTCATAGGTTAAACATATTTGGTTCTGAAGCAAAATCGGTACGATATAATAAATCTGTGTGATCGTGGAAAATAATATATCCAATGAGCATTCCCCCTCCCCTTCCTTTCTTCTCTCAGAAAACCCACACTCCTCCCTTCGCCATTGGTTTCCATGCCATCGCAATACCTTACAGTGCAAAATCCACTAATACTAACATGAACACTCACAGCTGGTGGGTGGTAAGCGCTTGTAAAACCCTGCCTACCCTCTTCCCCCACATATAACCTGACATCTAGTTGCGCCACCGATGAAAGCCAACTTCTTAAACAAAAAATACCGACACACCCAGTCTCATAGGCTTCATTTCTGCGAGATTTCTAGCTGAACACAGTTGATAGAAGATATGGTAGTTGCGTTCGTTAGCTGCCTGGAAAACGACGCGAGACTTCTCGAGCAGGTACGTTCGCATGTTGGCACCCATGATGGTGCACTGCTTCGTGAAATCAAGTTCAATGTACTTGCCGAACCGGGAGCTGTTGTCATTTTGGGTCGTCTTTGCATTTCCTATGGCCTGTTGGAAAAAAGAAATAAAACAAAACGAATTTGTTTGCTATTTGATGAAATTAAAGTGAGGTGGATGCCTCAAATTTCATATATTTTTTTACATCTCATGGATATGTGGATTGTTCCAGTTATGGAGAGTGAAAGAAAATATAGGAATCTTTGTCAAGCAACGACAAGCCTAATGAATATCTAGAATGTTCCCTCCTCAAGATCACTCGCAACGCCACAGATCAGTAGTGTAACCTATGCAAGGTATTTCTTAATTCATTTTATTGTCATAGCTTATTTAAAAGAGAACCAATTATACCCTATTCATTCTTAACCTCTTCCACCACGTCTCATTGAATTAAGCATTTCGAGTACATGTTAAACAATGATACAGTCATGAATAATACATTTTTCTAAACAAGGTAACAGTTTCATGGCACAAAGATTCTTAACATCATCTTAACTTTAGTTTTATTCTAAAAACTGAAGCATCATAACCACTCCTTAAAAAAGGCCCGCTTGGCTTCTATGGCAGATTAACTTATTGAGCCATCTATAAAAGAGGAGGAGGACCCCAAGAAGTTCGCAGCATATGGAGATATCGTCACATCTACAGGTATCTTACATATTTAGAACCATATCGATAATTACCCTTTCTAGAAACACGTACAATAATGTAATTGAGGCCTGTAAGGAATCGCTCAAGGGGGCTTACTTCCATAATGGGATTGGAAGCTAGGACCTTCTGCTCAATATGCACCTCGTCATTTGATCCACTGACCGATGCAAAATACCGCATGACATACTTGGCAGACACTGTTTTTCCTGCTCCTGATTCCCCAGACACGATAATAGACTGATTCGCTTTCTTCCTGATGGAAGAGAAAACGTACCACATTCAGCCTTCATATAACGAAAGGGAGATACTCAATTGGCGAATACGACTCCNGTCTTCCCAGCTTGAGACAAATTAACGATGGCCTCTCTTTTGGAATCCATTGCGACTAAATGCAAACAAATCTCAAAATCTCGGAGCTATTTATAAAGAATCACCCAACCTCTACATAAGAAAAAATTATTGGGGCCCAGTTCCACTTCTGGATGAAGTTATAAATCTGGACATAAGTGTAGCCATTTTTTCGCCGCATACTGTAAAGTACCGAAACGGAGGGGTAGGAAGATGCCATGACGAAGGTATTACAAATGTTTCTAAGGGAAACAAGCAGTAGAGCCCTTCCGAACGAAGCGATTGTGTCAGATGTGCGCAGGCTGGGGTGCCGTCGGTCGATGTCGAGTTGCAGCAGAACCTGTGATATCTCCAAAATTGGGAGACCTATTTACTTGGTTTATTTGAGTTTCATCAACGTTTCGATGGAGCTCTTAGAGTATTTTGGGTTACTGTTGGGCATTAAATCGACGAGGATAACGCTTTGCATGTCCCAGAACACGGTGATCTCAGTGTGGAATTCCTATGAGGTCGGTTCCTCGAGTATAAACGCCGTTGGCCATCGTCTCCTTATACTCATATTAATAGTAGAGGTTCCGTTAATATTTTCCAGTCGCCTAGGAGTGATTGCGTACCGTACTCTCTCGGCGGTCAGTAATTCAATAACGACTCACTATGCCCAAATCAAGGGCAGCAGCCGTTTTCAAAGAGTGTTGTGGTTAGTGTGTTCAAAGTGTGTTCCGCGAAACTGCCTTGTCAAGTGCGGGAATGATGAATCTCTGCATATGAATTATTTCACCGGCTTTCTAAGTAAACGTCCGGAGGGAAAATCGAGGGATATTACTTCCGTACTGACCCTGCGTCAATGGTCATATCTGGGCAAAATTACAATTTATACTTCATAGGTTAAATATTTGGTTCTGAAGCAAAATCTGTACGATATAATAAATCTGTGTGATCGTGGAAAATACTATATCCAATGAGCATTCCCCCTCCCCTTCCTTTCTTCTCTCAGAAAACCCACACTCATCCCTTCGCCATTGGTTTCCATGCCATCGCAATACCTTACAGTGTAAAATCCACTAATACTAACAAGAACACTCACAGCTGGTGGATGGTAAGCGCTTGTAAAACCCTGCCTACCCTCTTCCCCCACATATAACCTGACATCTAGTTGCGCCACCGATGAAAGCCAACTTCTTAAACAAAAAATACCGACACACCCAGTCTCATAGGCTTCATTTCTGCGAGATTTCTAGCTGAACACAGTTGATAGAAGATATGGTAGTTGCGTTCGTTAGCTGCCTGGAAAACGACGCGAGACTTCTCGAGCAGGTACGTTCGCATGTTGGCACCCATGATGGTGCACTGCTTCGTGAAATCAAGTTCAATGTACTTGCCGAACCGGGAGCTGTTGTCATTTTGGGTCGTCTTTGCATTTCCTATGGCCTGTTGGAAAAAATAAATAAAACAAAACGAATTTGTTTGCTATTTGATGAAATTAAAGTGAGATGGATACCTTAAATTTCATATATTTTTTTACATCTCATAGATATGTGGATTGTTCCAGTTATGGAGAGTGAAAGAAAATATAGGAATCTTTGTCAAGCAACGACAAGCCTAATGAGTATCTAGAATGTTCCCTCCTCAAGATCACTCGCAACGCCACAGAGCAGTAGTGTAACCTATGCAAGATATTCCTTAATTCATTTTATTGTCATAGCTTATTTAAAGGAGAACCAACTATACCCTATTCATTCTTAACCTCTTCCACCACGTCTCATTGAATTAAGCATTTCGAGTACATGTTAACAATGATACAGTCATGAATAATACATTTTTCTACTCAAGGTAACAGTTTCATGGCACAAAGATTCTTAACATCATCTTCATTTTAGTTTCATACTACTGAAGCATCATCACCAGTCCTTAAAAAAGGCCCGCTTCGCTTCTATGGCAGATTAACTTATTGAGCCATCTATAAAAGAGGAGGAGGACCCCAAGAAGTTCGCAGCATATGGAGATATCGTCACATCTACAGGTATCTTACATATTTAGAACCATATCAATAATTACTCTTTCTAGAAACACGTATAATAATTTAATTGAGGCCTGTAAGGAATCGCTCAAGGGGGCTTACTTCCATAATGGGATTGGAAGCCAGGACCTTCTGCTCAATGTGTACCTCGTCATTTGATCCACTGACCGATGCGAAATACCGCATGACATACTTTGCAGACACTGTCTTTCCTGCTCCTGATTCCCCAGACACGATAATAGACTGATTCGCTTTCTTCCTGATGGAAGAGAAAACGTACCACATTCAGCCTTCATATAACGAAAGGGAGATACTCAATTGGCGAATACGACTCCTTACCGATCCATCTGTGCGAACGCTGCCTCGGCCACAGCAAATATGTGAGGGTCGAGACTGTCCTTGTCTCTACCCTCGTATTTTCTGATGCTCTCAATGCCGTAGATCGGCAGCTCTTGATATGGATTAATGGCCACAAGGATGATCCCTGTTATATAAAACCTTGATGAGTCAATGAAAACTCTGCAACCAAAGGACAAAATAGGTAAGCTTTTAAATATGTTAAGACACGGTTAACTTGGAGGCATTAACTCACGGAAGTCTTAACTCTAATACGGAAGACCTTGTTGCTCTAGAAGAGATGGAGGAGCAAAATTATATTACAATGTCATTTTTATTCGACATATAGCAAAAAATGCCACAAGACCCATCAGAGAAGTTGATGACGTTTCCGAAAGAACATTTGAAGAAGGGAAGCAGGCTCAATAATGAAGCTCCATCGGGCCGAATTCCAACTGTTTTCCTTATTTCAGTGCAACTCATGCAAAATGCTTATTTCTCGTGCTTACGAGCAAGATCACTTAAGGTAAACGACAAAACCTAAGAATCTTAGAATATCAGACAGCGCTGTTGAAATAATGCGGACTTTCAAAAGAGTCTGTCACCCTTGAACACTTTTTCTACATGATAAAATGCAAAAAAAATAATTCTTCAGGAATTCTTGAGGCATTTGATATGTATTATAGAAGTAATTATATAATGCATCTAATATATTAATATATAGACGATCGTGACTCATTGACTGACTGACGCTAATTCTAACCATGTTCCAGAGAAGTTAGAAATCTGAAAATTGGTACACATGCACCTTTTGGGATACAGAGTTCAGAAAAAAAAATCCGACTTTGGAGGTACATGCCCTGGGGGTACAAATTTTTTGGGGAGAAGTTTTAAAAATACATATTGTGACGGATTAGGATGGCATCGAGAGGCTTGACTGGATGTCTAGGGTTCGGTGGTGTATTGGTAACACACCTGACCGGCAATCACGAGGCCCGGTTCAATTCCTGCCAGCTCCTTGGCTAACTTTCGGCCTATAATGCCTTCCAAGTCGCGTTACTTATTCGCCCTTCATATTTTTGCTTTGTTGAAACGGAGAAACATGGAAAGCTAAAACGTGCCATGGACATGCCTACTGAGACGATGAGTTCAGGAAAAATGAAAAAATTAAGATCCAACAAGGGCATGCTAAAAAGGGGCCGACGTTTTCACGTAATTTTTTTTTGCCCTGGCGTATTGAGCTAGTGTGGAAAGATGAAACTTGGTACATCACTACNAACGTATATATAATGAATAATATCGATTTGCAACGTAAATGCAATGTTCCTTCGCAACATTTGAGCAACGTTGACGTTTTGGACATTTACACATAGATGCAATATTCGATCCAGTTAATAATAATTCGATAATAGATCCAGTTTCGATCATCCGAAAGGCAAGAGCATCCTCAATCTGGAGTTTCTTTTTGCGTTATTTTGCCAATCTCTTGCATCATTCCCTGAACAGTAAATTAAAGTTCCTCTTAGGTGTTAATGTTATGTATAGTTACCTGATTAAAATTCATAGAAACATGGCGAAATTAACTAAGGAACAACAGACTATAATTACGCTTATAGCAAAATGGAAGTTTTGTTCCGAATTATGCCATAACGTAACTGGATCTACTTGAAAATTCAAGAAAAAATCATACGTAGAAGCCTACAGGCGCTAATCGATCCTCCATATCCATTTAACGATTGGCACAATGGGTACAATAATAGACCTGCCCCTCTCAGGAGGTCCTCGAACTGGTCGCTCCGAAGAAAACTTCGAATGGTTCAACAGGAAGATTTACCAAAAACCATGACTCCTCAGCCTCGGTTGAACGAATGTTCCGGATCTCAAGTTTATGCATTTGAATTGATGTTCTTTGAAAGGAAGCAAGGAGTATTATTAAGAGAATATTCTTTACTTTCATATGATCTAAGCTGCATTGCAGTTCGATCTCTCAATCATGAGTTATTTCTCATAAGGTTGGCGGGACTTTTGACTCACCATGGTATGTAGGAATATCACTCCAGGATGAAAAATGCTTCATGTGGCATATTAATCAAATTATTCCTTCCCCTTGTGTCGACATAGCATGAGAATAGCCAAGGTTCAAATGGAATCAGGAAGACTGAGAATATAGGATATACTGCAGAAGACTCAGAATCAGAAAGTCTGAGGATAAAAATGTTAGTTTGATTCGTAAATCTACTGCATACAAAGAAAACTCTCAAGACTCCATTTCCTCGAACTGGGGAAATCATCCGAAGGGAGAAAGTTATAATTGCGGTGGTCTGAGAGTGTCACCGAGATGTTGCCTATGGGGATTAAATCTAAACTGACAGTATGACAATACATAATCCATGTGACACCAGTGATTAGCATTTATTCGATGCCAACCAGAGTAATGATTATCTGCCATAAATATTTGTAGAAGTAATGAGTTTATCTTCGGATAGAAGGTATAGTCCAAGTGTGCTTTCCTTCATGATAATCCACAATATTCAGTAATAAGAAGTAGATATGGACAACGGAGTCACCAAAAGTATTGGGTTGGAAAGAAAGTCTTGCAACGCTTTCTAAAACTATTTATAAACATTTTCAAAGGAATGATGGGCATTTGCATTTGTATATGCTGAAATGTTCTCGAAGCTCCTGCAATCAGTTGGCAGCCATGGCTCCGATCGAAAACGCAGCTCTTCGCCCCATCGTCTACTACGAGTTCCTCCAAGGACACTCTGCGAGAGCCGCCACGGACATCTGCGCTGGATTCAAGGGCAACGTCGTCTACTATTCCACGGTGTTTCGATGGTTGGAACGCTTGGAATCTGGCGACACGACCTTCGGATATCGACAACGCTCAGGACTTCCATCTACAGTCGATGACGAAGCCCTGCGGAACGCCCTCGACGCGAAGCCGAACGCCACCACTCGCGAATCGGCGAGTACACTTGCAGTCACCCATATGGCCATCGGCAACCATATGAACGACTTCGGCTATCGGAAGGTTTACTCGACATGGGTCCTTCATCGGCTGGGCAACTCTGACAAATCAAGCCGTGTCAGTGTCTGCGAATCACTGCTCCTTCGTCCGCACAGAAAGGACCTTCTGAAGGAAATCTTTACTGGAGATGAGAGCTGGGTCCGCTACGTCAACCATACTCCCAAGAGTCAGTGGCTTCCACGAGGAGAATTGCCGCCACATGAACCGAACCAGGGTTCCATGAGAAGAAGGTTCTTCTCTGCTGTCGGCGGGATTCAGAAGGAATGTTGTACTATGAGCCCCTGCCAACCGGTACCACCGTGACTGCCGTCGTCTACGCTGCTCAACTTCAGAAGTTGGCTGGCGTCATTCAAAAAGAGCGTCCCAAACGCGACAAAGTTCTCCTGCATGACAACGCTCGTCCACGTGTTGCGCCAGACGATTTCGGAACCGGGTTAGGAAGTTTTACCCCATCCAGCGTATTCTCCGGACTTGGCCCCTTCCGACTATCACTTGTTCCGGACCCTCAAGAATCACCTGCGGGACAAGGCCTTCGACGATCGAGCTCGAAAATGATGTCGGCCGTTTCTTCGTTTCGCAATCGCCAGAATTCTGGGCAAAGGGCATCGAGCAGTTACCCGTGCGTTGGGAACATGTCATAGACAACAATGGTCATTACATTGTGGACTGAAATTGGGTTTCAATAAAGTTATAAAATTTTGAAAAATTTGCACAGAGTGTTGCAAGACTTTCTTTCCAACCCAATGAATGGACAAACAGCTACAAAAGTCCACGCGAGATAACTCGGACAGTAGAATATAAAGCTGTCTTCTTCGTCAGTGATAACTTCCCTCGGAATCCAATGCCACCTTGTCGGATGATAGCTGACGCATTCGGTTAGGCATGTCATTGGAATCAAATATGGCAGCTGTGCTGACTAACTGCTTTTCTGCATGGGCAAGGTGATGGTAGCGGTTTTTTTTTAAAGGAATGTTGTTGTGTTGTCTAAGTCCAAGTATAACTGCAGCATAATAACTGCATCTTAAGATGCAGTTGGGTTAATTAAAACTTGCTGTCCCCTGCTAGCGTGGGTTGCTGACAAATATCCTGTTACTGCAATGAGAAAGATGAGATGAAGCCACGTTCTCCTCGTGTTTCACGTTACATTATTCAGGAATGAGAGTGGAATAAAGTTTTACATTCAACACTCTCTTGACCTAACCGTCTTGGGGCTTATATGGGCTCCGCCTGTGGAAAAGAGTTCTTGGAAAACAATTTTTCAAAGGTGACCAGGATATGAGAAAAAGCAAATGGAACTAAAATTGTCATTATTATGCTTTCGTTCGGCACTTTACCTAATGTCACGCATTGCGACTTGTGTTTCTGAAATATTGTAAATTTACACATATGTTTGTACATTGTAAAATGTATAAAAGTCCTGAAAAATATGAAGCCTTTCGTGCAATGAACCACGACAACGGGTAAAATTCTTTAACCCAACCAGGGAATCAGCATGTCCAATTTGCATTATTTCAATAAAATAAATATGAAAGTTAAATAATCCCACTAATCATGGATATAACAATGGGGAATTAAAAATGAAGCAAAAAAACGATGAATTTCATTTAAATATCTGAATTCATGCAATGGCAAGGGTGAACAGTTGGTTTAGACCTCGCCCCTATCAGAAAAATATTAAGGAGCCTGCTTCACCCTTGAAAGAAACGCATGACACTCAAACGATGAGGCAGGAAACAAATAATTCTCAAATTCATTCGTTTGAATCTCACATCGTACTAAACAAGATAAACATATGTTTGCTATTCGAACCTGAGTATCTTGATTGCGCAGTCTGGATATTAAACATATAGCCTGCGCGATCCTGGACGCTAGCTAGACCGAGCGACAAGTGGTCTTTGAGTGTGTGACAGCTCTACAGGTCTGCTTCGAGATATGAACTTCGGGTTTCAACTGAGTTCTTCCTTATCATTCGAGGATGCGCCTTTGGGAAATGAAATTTTCAAATCGCCAACAAGAAATGGAGGCAACTTCCACTGAAAGTGGAAGATTCCCTCTCGTCTCATAATCTTTCGGATGGACGAGGGTAAGAAAATTTTACTCCCATACTGGGAAGGGAACGTTGCAACGCTCATTGCAGTGCTTCCCGCCTGCTGCTGTGAATCCAGGGATTTCAACCGTCCATGATGAAATACGGGGCGATTCGTCAGTTCGCCACTTGCGTTCACACGGGTTCCCCAAAAGAACTCCATCACTCCACTTTCTTCTTGGGGGTTCATCTCTCAAAATGTAAAATTGTTAAAT